ATTTACTAGTATTTTCTTATTTTGGTGTTTTGAGCTCTTTTGTGTTTAGAACAATACATACTAATTTTTAAAGTATCAAATTGAATTTTTGTTTAATAAAAAATCTTTCAAATGCGACTGTAGTTTTTTTCCCCAAAACTTTGTCTTCAAAATAAAGGTGCGTCTTATATTCCGAAAAATACGGTAAATAATAGATGACTAATTTTAACTGTAACTGGCTAGTATATCCACAACTAAAATATTAAAAGGTGCTGTAATATTAGAGATCCAATTCCATTTAAAACCACAATGTGATACATCCTCAAGATTCAAGTCTGCTTAAGAATGAAAGAGGTGGGAAGCATGTGAAATATAATTACAACAGAAGTAATGTTAGGATTGGAAGCTTCTGTACGTACTGCATGTTTTAGGTAAATTTACTTTGTTGATTTGATATATAAAACTTCCTGCGACAGTTTCTCATTTTTTCACCAGTGGTATACATTGAAAGGTAGCTAGAGGTCACTTTGGATTTTCTTTTAGAATGCTGTATATAAATCTTTATCTTTGTAAAAAAAAATATACTGCTAGTGTGGGAGAAAGCCAAGCTTAAATTATTTGCTGCTATAACATAGTGCATTTTTTTCAAGTCTATCTTGATCAAAAGGCCTCTGATTGAACTGAAGCCTACGTTCTATTTTTCAAAAATGCAATTGTCTTAGACGACTTGAATTTCATATAGTACACTTTAGATGATTTCTCACATTTGTAAGTTGTATGAAAATAACGTTTAGACAAATGTCATCTCACTTCAATTCTCTCAAACGTTTTCTAGTCATTTGAAAGACATGAAGCTTTTATTTACTTAGAATCCAAACATGACATCTTTTTAATTCTGCTTCTGTTTGTATACATAATATATGTTGTAAGCCCTACAAGAATTATACTTTCCACAAAACACCAAGATGAGTTGTATGGAAGTAAAATGGATTTTTAATGTTCATATAGTTCTTGTTTACATATTTCTGGGATAAATATATTCATTATACAAAAATCGGTTTAGTTTAAGAGTATACTCAGTATTCTTGGTAATTTAAAGCCTCTTTACTATAAAAAACTTGAGGCTCAATATATTTAACACAAACAAAACTTAATGTACTAAAAACAAATCATTATCAATAATTTGCAAGATGGTTAACAAAAAAACATTAAATTGAGCTTTCTGAACACTAAAAAGCTTATACAATATTTTCCTAGTAAATTTAGGTATCAAACCACTTATAAAACTATAAAAATGCAAGTACAGTGAATCACTGAACAACAAGTGCTTGAGTATGGAAGTAGTTCATGCTTAGCTTAGATTGCATATAAATAATAAACTTTACAACAAACAATATTAAATCAGACAGTAGAACATTATAAAAGGAATGTACAGCACAAGGGACATTTTAAGCACCTACAATAAACAAAATCTGACTAAATCATCAACAAAGACAACAAAAAAAGGTTTCATTAATTATAGTTTTTGAACAACAGACAAAATTAAATTCACTATTTTACTCCTGAGGATCGTTTCATGATAATTAACCTTATAAATTTCAGGGTTATTTGGATATGTTGAATAGCTTCACTTTAAGACTGCTTCTCCCCAATGAAGAAAGAGTCCAAAATGTTGTCTTCAAATTAGACAGAAGTAGTCCATAAGATAATAATGATGTGTTTATACACACAACAGGATTAAAGCTCTAATGCTCAAAGAAACAGTCAAACATTATCTGTTATATTTACCTTTAATTCTGTCTTCTATTAGATATAAAGTTGATAATTTATTTCTAGCTTGAACTTAACATTGTTTTACTGAATATTTTACCCTTTTTTGTGAGAGGGAGCACAATTCTTCTACCAGATTAACAAACATTACCTTCTGCTTAATGTAATAGCTAAAATCCTCTGTATGATGATGTTTCAAAGAAAAGTGCATAAGATAGTGCCTCTCTTGTTTGAACAATTGTGACACAAGTTTTGGCAATTCAAGTAGCTTTCCTTTGGGGGGGGGGGACTTTCTTCCTTCAAGTTCGATCACTCTGGAATGGTATACAAAATTAGGCAAGACAGAACCCCATGCTCTGAGCAATTTCCAAACAAAATATCTAGCAGTATATAATCAGATAGATACAACTGGAGAACATTTTTGAAGTTTGTGTGCCTTACCAATGACTTCAATATTTGTTTATGTAATCCTACCAAATCAAGGTATAATAAACACACTGTTGACCAGCTCTGCCTCTAACAAAAAAAAGTAGCATATATTCTGACAATCTCAGATTCATTTATTAACACTTCAATGCACTGCACCTGAAAATCCATCAGACCATAAATACTAGGTGTTACTATGAATTGTAAGTGAATATTACATTTCAAAAAAAAAAAGAAAGGGGGAGGTGTTGCCATGTTTCGGTATTTTTCACAATAGATTAAATAGAATATGTAATGAGTTTAGATATATGTATACATTATACAAAAAACAAAATGCAACCTGTCTGTTTACTAGTGAATATAAGCTTTTCCTTTTGTGATTTAAGTGAATTTTATCCCTTTAATATCCATATTCTGCCACCGACAACTTCCATAATGATACTAACTTCTGTAGTAAGAATGCTCTTATAAAGTAAAAAATATTTTTCAGAGACATGTATGTCTCATTGTTATTTACTAAAGAACCTGGATGAAAAAGATAAAACTCAGAGATGTAACATTTGTATTCTAACCACAAAAAAACACTACAGTGAAATACACAAACAGTCATTCATACTACATTTGATTCTAGTTATTAACTAACCAAAAAATATATATGAACCTAACAGACAGTGTAATCTCTCAATTCCAACATTATAAATACACAATTTTGAACTGAAGATCAGTAAAATCTATCTTAAATAAGACGAAGATCATGAGAAACATTACAACTAGACAAGAAAAAAATGTACCATATTTTTGTTACTCAAAGTAATTTTCTAGGCTCACAATTTCTAACTAATGTTTCAAAATACAAATTTACATTAAAATTAATCCCTACTGTAGTGTTTAATGTAAAGATGTATGAAACAGAGAACATGTACAGAAAAATTCTGAACAATGGTACAGTTTTTAAATCAAAAATTCAAAACAACTACGCAACAGGTAACAACCATCATTATTAAACATAATTGATAGAAACAACAGTTACAAAAGAACTTCAAAATGGAATCTGACTATCACTTAACAAAATAAAACAAGTCTTCAATGTACAGTCAGGAATCTCAGTTCCTTCTCCTTTAAGACACTGCTCAATGCCTTATACCCACCAAAGGATTTCTTAGGTTTGCCTCATTGATAAGTAGTGTGTGCCCCTAATTCCACATTGAAAGACGAGTTTCCAGCAGTTATCTACATCTATTTGTGAACAAGTTTCTATCAGTTATCTACATCTATTTGTGACGAGTTTCTAGCAGTTATCTACATCTATTTGTGACGAGTTTCCAGCAGTTATCTACATCTATTTGTGACGAGTTTCCAGCAGTTATCTACATCTATTTGTGACGAGTTTCCAGCAGTTATCTACATCTATTTGTGACGGTACATAATAATAATAAATGATAATGAACACTCCAGAAAAACAACTGATGTTCATGCATTTCATCATTCATAACAAAGTTCTGTTCTTGTATTCAAAAATTAATCTAACAGTTTAGGAGCAAATAATTGCTTCATTATTTTTTTATGAAATCATAACAAGGAAGATTAACAATTCTACAGTAATTCAACAACTCCCCAGTTGTATTTGATAAAATTTTGTTCTTGTAATCTATATATGAAAAACTAACATACTTGGCAGGTAATTTAGTATACCAACCAGTTCGTTTATCAAAAAGAATATATATATATATATATATATATACTGTATTGTCAACAATTCCCAATATTTTAAACAAAACCTTTCCTAAGAAGTATATACTTATTAAAACAACACTTAAAAATTGAAAGTACAAAGAATGGGAAACCTAAAAAAGTTTAACACATTAGAAAGTACAAACAAAAAAAATTGTAAGACTTAGCTACATTAATTTACGAGCACTGTTACAAACATAAAATATTTGATAACCATAAAATGTTGCAATAAGAGAGTCTAAACAATAAAGTTCCACTTTTCACATAACAAGGGCATCTTTTCTAATTAAAGCCTGGTTGAATGTTTGTCAAGACTAATTTAACTTCAAAATGCCAAAACTCTGGAAGTTTGTTGTGAAATACACAGATTTCCAATAACTGAAAAATGAGCATAAAACTTGAAGAAAATTATAATAATTAAAAATAATTTTTCTGCTAACAACAGAGCCACTGAACAAAATAAAAAATGACTTGACTATCTTGGATAAATTGAGATTGGTCAGATTTAAACTAATGAACTAACCAAACAATCACAATAATAAATAAAGTCTGCCAAAAGAGGAATCACAAATGCACATTTTACTATCAAAGGACACTACATGCTACATTTATTAACCTCTTCCACGATTTGCCCAAAATAACTTGGGTACCCTCTGTGATTCAAAAAATATTTGCTCAAGTTAATTTGAACAAACAATTTCTCTATTTTTAATTATTTGCCCTAATTTATTTTCATGTTATCATTTATTATTAGGGATGCATGGGTACCTGCCCAGATATTCGTCCTCGGCCGTGTATTGGGCTATCCGATAACACTCGGCTCCGGCTGAGTGTCGGTGTTAGGCATCTAAGTTCTAATATTTGTGGCAACTAATGTGGTACTGAAAGTTACAGTCAATAATTGGTTTAGTTTAAAAAAAAAAGTGTTCCGAGCAACAAAGACTGACCACCCACTGAAAGTCGGGGATTCAGAGAACAACAGAGGTTAATAACGGGCATGGGGTTAGAAGCGGGGAAGGTGGGGGTTTGAGAAATTGGAGCTAGACACTGAAAGTTGAAAGTAAAACTTGAATGTTCTGTTGGTGATTAATCGGTTAAACATCAATTTTGTTTTTGTTTCTAATTTTTGTGTATGTTGTTGTGTTTTGTTTTGTTGTTGTTTTTTTTTGGGGGGGAGAACCCTGTTCCAGTTGACACCTAGCCGAAGCTTAGTGACCAGGTATTTGGCCAAATTTTACTCCCAGTGTAATCCTATTTATTACAATCAGTGCTTGCTACATGGCACTGGAAATGCTGTTTGTGCTTATTGCTATTGGATTTACTTCAAATTACGGATCATAAACACTGGAGAAAAGTATTCTTGTTTGTTTTACTGTAGCTTCATTGGAATGATATATATATACTGTGTATAAATCCAGATGTATAAAAATATTTATCAAGTATATTTTCAACAGAAATATAATATAATAATAATAATAACAAATCATGAAAGAACTTTTGTTTCATTATTATTTGAGCCAAACAAGAATATATTTTACCAGATACAGAAAAAAATACACACGTATTTATTATATTTCAAACATCACAAATTTTCCAATGTACAGTTATTTCTATAGCAACGTTGTGAAGCCTGTTTCCTCTCAACTTTACTATGTACTTGAAACTACAGATAATCTCACTAAGAAATACTGTTCCATTCTACTATATTATACAAGATACAATATAAATACTGAAATAAACTAGAAATTCCATCTTGTTGAGAAAAATACCAAACTCCATCAGATGCCAAAAGAAAGGTTTGGTCTCGATTAAAATATACTTCTGAGTATTACTTTGATCACCTGAAAAAGTTTTCCACATCTGACTAGACTCACAGCACTATCAAACTGTATTTGAGCCTTTCAGACATTAAGGTTTCTTTCTAGAGATGACTGTTCCTCACCACCAGCAACATCCAATAACTAAATCTAACAAACGTTGATTGACATCAGTGGTGACACTTTCTCCTATACAACACTTTTTTTTTTTAAATTACAAATTAGCAAGTTATAAATGAATGTTTTAAAATCTGAAATAATTGCATTAATCCACAAGACAAATACAAGCGATATTCAATATGCATATAATGTGAAGGCAATAAAATATTGTTGTACATAAAGAAATGTGTGAACAATGTTGGAACGTTTAGCTTAACAATAAAATGTTACAATTTAGCAAACCAGAGCTACACTAAATCAAACCAACAAATGTGACATATCTAAATTTTGGGCAATAAAAAGCCTGGTTAAATAGTAGTCTTGGGGTGTGAAAGAACTACTTTAACAGGAAAACTTGGATGTTGTCATTACTGGGGTGTGAAAGAACTACTTTAACAGAAAAACTTGGATGTTGTCATTACTGGGGTGTGAAAGAACTACTTTAACAGGAAAACTTGGTTGTTGTCATTACTGGGTCTTGAGACATGAAAAATATCCTTTACTGGTAAAGAGAATATTAGGGAAGTTTTTTATTCATGATAAACCATTTGGCTGGCAAATATGTTAAGTAAACTTGAATATTTCCAGTGTGAAACTGATAGAAACTCTACAAGTCTATTATTTCTTCCTAAACGTGTGTAAAACTTTAACTCCTTTATATTTTATGATGTCGTGTCTTTATAGCAAAATAGGGACATCAGTGCTTACAGTGGTGATCCTCGTAGTGTCGTAAAGTTAACCACTTCAAGTAGCTTTTTATAAATAAATATTGTTGATAACAAGAAACAGGACTAAGGTTGATCATGATACTGACGTTACATTTCTATGTCGAGGAGGTTGATCAATCATTCTAATATTAAGTAGGATATGGTGAGTAATGACAACACCAAAGTTCTCCTGTTAAAGTATTTCTTTCACACCCCAGCAATGACAACACCAAAGTTCTCCTATTAAAGTATTTATTTCACACCCCAGTAATAACAACACCCAAGTTTTCCTGTTAAAGTACTTCTTTCACACAGAGGTTATTATTCTGTGCAAACTAGACAACAACAACAAAAAAATCAAAATATTTATCAACACAAGTGATTAGGAAATCATAAGCCTCACTTTAGAATTAATAATTTTGTTTTACTACAATGATACATCTCCATTTATATATAAAATGCCACCTAAGAACTTGATTGTTTGTGTGGGTCAATACCATCAAAGTTTTAGAGATGAATCAAATAACTTGGAAATAGTTTACCAAGTTGGAATGTCTAGAAGGGACTTGGAAAAAAAAACCACCAATCAACTCTAAGGATCATATCAATATACAAACAGAAGGTGAATTAAGAGTTATCTATCTTTTTTCATTTACAGAGATGCCAACCCCAATTGATAACAAATAGGGAATACCAGCCTGAAAAAAAAAAACAATCCTAGTAATCACAATCGTAGTAGAAAAATGGGAATGATTTAGTTTTGCAGTTGCTTTTTCACCGCAAATAATGCTGATATCTGAAAGTAAAGCACACAAAATGCATGATTCTTCACTTACTTCAGATACTTTAATGCACAACCAGTTGACTGTATATTTAGACCTCAATTTTTTGCAACACCCATGCTTGGCAGGAGTTCAGTATCAGAATGCCATTAGTAATATTGTTGTAGTTAATGTTGTTTTTATTACCTTCAGTTTACTTTTCGTTAGCTATTAGACTTGCTGACATTTGTTTTTTTTCTATTGATTTATTTGTGTTCTGATATTTTCTGGTCTTAGAGTTATGTCCAATATGCCATTAGAGTTCCATATTGGGATTCAGTTTCTTACATTGTAATTGTGGCTGATTCTCTATTTTATTTTCACCTTCACTTCAAGGATATCACTTAGGTAGTATACTTATCAAGGAATTTTACTCTGTTTTAAATTTCTCTGTTGTGAGGGTACATCCTGATATAGGACTCTCTCCCCTGTGTCCTTATTTACGTACACATTCTTGAATGGGTGACTTTCGATTCAACGTCTTTCCAATGACACTAACATGATTATCCTAACTCCTCAATGGACTTACTATCAATATGATTTCTAATTGGCTGATATTTTATTCACTGTTACAAAACATTTTAGTCTGATTGGAATACAGCATCTAAAATAAAAATGCTTAAATGACTATGATCTCAATGGTATGGCTATTTCATTTCGTCCCCAATAACAAATATATTGGGTTGTATTATACCAAACCAACAACACATAAAATAAACTGGGAATTGTAAGAGAACGATCATAATGGTGAAATCTGGAGTTAAGAATGAGTAAAAGTATGATCATAATGGTGTAATCTGGGGTTAAGAAATGAGTAAAAGTATGATCATAATGGTGTAATCTGGGGTTAAGAAAGAGTAAAAGTATGATCATAATGGTGTAACGTGGAGTTAAAAATGAGTAAGGGTACGATCATAATGGTGTAATCTGGGGTTAAGAAAGAGTAAAAGTACAATTGTAATGGTGTAATCTGGAGTTAAAAAAGAGTAATGGTACAATCTTAATGGTGTAATCTGGGGTTAAGAAAGAGTAAAAGTACAATTGTAATGGTGTAACTTGGAGTTAAGAATGAGTAAAGGTGTGATCATAATGGTGTAACTTGGAGTTAAGAGTGGGTAAGGGTATGATCTTAATGGTGTAACTTGGAGTTAAGAATGAGTAAGGGTATGATCTTAATGGTGTAACTTGGAGTTAAGAATGAGTAAAGGTGTGATCATAATGGTGTAACTTGGAGTTAAGAGTGGGTAAGGGTATGATCTTAATGGTGTAACTTGGAGTTAAGAATGAGTAAGGGTATGATCTTAATGGTGTAACTTGGAGTTAAGAATGAGTAAAGGTGTAACTTGGAGTTAAGAAAGAGTAAAAGTACAATTGTAATGGTGGAACTTGGAGTTAAGAAAGATTAAAGGTATGATCATAATGGTGTAACTTGGAGTTAAGGATGAGTAAGGGTATGATCTTAATGGTGTAACTTGGAGTTAAGATGGGTAAGGGTATGATCTTAATGGTGTAACTTGGAGTTAAGAATTAGTAAGGGTATGATCTTAATGGTGTAACTTGGAGTTAAGAATGAATGGTATTTGTATAGAACTTGACAGGAAGATAATGTAGAAGATAAAGTTTGTTTTATAGCAATGAATTAAAAATTTCTACTAGTAAACAATATGGTTATTCCAAAATGAAAGTTAATTTCAAAAATAATAGACTAAAATAAAAAAGGGTAGAATCACTAAATTGAAATAATGAAGGTACAGAAGTCAGTCAAATGTGTTTACAAAGCCATTGAAAATCCACAAAGTATTCACTGCTTTACTGGTAATTTATGAAGTAAAATGTGGTTATAAAAATTGAGTAAGTTGTGGGTATTAAATCAAATGTCATAAAATGAATATTTTATTTTGGGACAGAGGCACAGCACCTCTGTAGTGATTCAGTGACAAACAAGTAGATATGCTGAAGACTAGGGAAAAGGTTAAGAGTATAAACTATAACTAACCAAGAAAATAATCTACATTTGTGTTATGAAAACATTACTATGAGACTTTATAAAAAATTCTACCTTTAAGTTTTTAAATAGCTCATCTCAGGACATACACGCTGTAAGATTTTAAAACTATTTTTTGTGCTTTAGTACCATTTTATCACCTAATAAAGAAAACTACTTGTCAGATACTAGTCTCACGTTCCGTCATTGTTACGGGTTTATCCTTCAAAAGCCTGGATGCTACTTCTACAGGATATATGGGTACAGAATTTGTAGAATATGCAGGCGAGTCTCTCACTGAGCTATCCTGTATGACAGACATTTCACTGGGGTATCCAGTAGATGAGAGAGGTATGTCATTTTCATTGGGAGCTCCAGTCAGAATAATGGTCGGTTTCACATTCCAGGCTTGTTTAGGTGAAGCGCGTAGTTGTGGTCTTACAGTTTCGTTCAACCTCTGCTTTACACAAAATTGTAATATGCATCAGTAAAAAAAATTAAAAAATCAAAGTTAAAATAAACTATTTAAACATACTTTAAAAAATAATGTACACCAGATTTATTACAAGGTGATCTACATATGCCATTTTGAACAATCACCGTTTAATATGCTCTCCACATACAATGCTCCACTTACATCATTCACTGTAAAGATATCTAGGTATGGCACTACTTGAATACATGTATGTAAGCTAAGCATTTTTTTTTTCATACTGACAAGAATATTATAGTGAAATGTTTGAGTTAAGTAATCATTGCAAAAATAATTCAGGAAAGGCATTACATTTGGCAGAAAGACACTCTGAATTAAAGAACCTTGGTACTTGTAATGTATGGTTCTTGATCATCTAATGTTTAATTTTCTATTACCTTCTCAAAGATAAGCTGAAGATGAAGAGAGTATTACTGACATGACAACTACATGTAATAGGTGTTTATATTGTTGATTGTCAAATTTGTTAGTTTTTAAACTCAAAGCTACACAATGGGTTATCTGTGTTTCATTTATTATACTTTTTGAACAGGATTTATGATGCTGTTCTTTAATTTTTT